AGACAGACAAGAAACTTCAGTATTGCTGAAACTCCTTCCAAACCCTTCTGTCCCATCAACTCTACATCTGGTGTTCCCTTCTAAGATTAATGGAGGGTTTTAATTGCGTCTTCTTCTTATAATTCTTGTCGTAGACTCCACCCTCTTGAACCCTCCACCAACTCCAAGCCAGCTCTCAACAACCCGTGCACGAAGTCTTTACTCACATTGGCACTGTGACGTGCAAACCTGGGTTCGCGACTACTTAGTACTAACGATTATTTCGTGTGATACCAAATCCTGTTATTTCTACGTAATTTAATATTAAAATCACTGAGTAATTATATTAGAACACCTAAATTTTTCTCACGCTTAATAAACTTTGGGGATGTATAATAAATACATATCCCCAAAAAAAATTGTATATTTTATAATACGAAATATAACTTCGTTATCGACATCTGTTTGGGGAAAGCTATATTTGGATTCACGATCATATAATATTGAATGAGGTATAAGAATCCCGTATCGGGGATCGAACTGAGAACGTTCAGTTCGTGGTGAAGACGCTATATTGACTGAACTACCCAATTTACGTATTTAAGAACTGCAACATTTAAAAACAAGTCATGAAATATAACAGTATGTTTATCAAATCTAAAACTTCTTGACGATGGTGAAGAGTCAATTGAATAAAAATTTACTTGGATATTATCCATCGTCTAGTAATAAAACGTAAAATATGTTTGTTTGTTTTTTTTAGAAAAGAATAAAGTATAATTTAGATTATCGTACACGTAATAAGTTTCTATGCTATTCGGATATTTGATGGATCGATCGAATCTCTTTAGATGCGAATTTTATGTACGAGTTTACAGCAAACTGAATGACAATATCTAGAGAATCGGTTCATGTAACAGTCACGTCTCCTTCGTATAGAAGTACAATATTTCTTATCCACTGTCTTAGCAGTTCTAAATGACAAATATGTTCAAACTTTACGACAATCTAATTAACTGAACGTCACGCAATCTGCGAATAAGTTTATTAGTAATTAATATCTTCTTATTAAGTGAGACTATGGTTTATGAATATATGTTCTCTTATAGCTCGAGGATGGATAAACCGATTTGCACCAAATTCGGTATGCTTATTCCTTCAAACCAGGAAGAAGTTTTATAAAGGTCAAAACCTCTAAAACAATTCTCTTTGAATGAAATCGTGTCCTTAAACATCCGACTGACGAAATGTCACGTGTTCTTGAACATTTGCGTAAGAAAATTTGGAGACCATCGATTCTGCATAAAGTGTTAGGTCACGTGTCTGGGAAACACAGATGCCCCTCCCTCATTTGGTTAGAGAATACTTTTTTTCTCTCCTGTTTCTTACGCTGAATTTTTGCAGTTTGACAAATGGCGTGTCAGTCTCACGTTTGAGCAGTATACTCGAATGTAGAGTCGTTACTGGAATTGAGTTCAAACCATGATGCAGAAAAGGTCAGGCAGCCATTTATAGACTTTGTCACGTCCAATATCCCATATGTAATACACAGTAAGACTATACCTTCTCGCTTCTAGAGAGTTGTTATGTATAAAGCATTTTATAGATGTACACATTTGGGTTTCGTACCCGAAGTTGAATTCCATCTGCAAAAAACACATGACAAGAATTACGATTATATAATTCTTCATGTTTCGTTATAAATTTAATTTTTATAACTTTATCTAATATGAACTCTAGTTCAGAGATTAATTAAAATATTAATAATGTTTCGGGACTTAGTATTAAATTAAAATTATACCATAGGAACATTAAACACGGTTATTCTGAAAAATCCCAATACGTAATATACAAAAAAAATAAGTGTAAAAAAGCAGATGTAAGTTTTCAGTTTGTAAAAAAATATATAATTAAATAGAATAATAAACATACGTTATTTATTTAAACGCGTTGTTAACTTAATACAAGAGGTGACGTTGGTTCTTGGAATATCATTCTGTTATATGCGTGGAAATATTCACGTATCATTTCTGAATGGTCAGTAGACCTGTTATGAAATGGTGCACATTTAATATATTTTATAGTTAACAGATACTGCTCCATAGATTGGAATCGGGGGACAAAAGAACTTTATATAAGGGGGATTCACCAAGCCCTTTGCTCGAGTTCAAAAACGCTGTTCCATAACCTTTTTTCTTAACACCGTCACGTCTTACGAACTTTGAACAAACTTCGAGCTTTGAATAAATGACGTTAATTCTCAAAGTTCTCTAGAACTCTGAGAATTACAGCGTCTTTGGTTAAAAGTTTTACCCCCCTCCTTTTTTTCATTCCTGTGCTTACCAAGCAAGAAATCCTTCGAACATGTTCAGTCTGTTCTGTAATACAGCAGACGTACTTGTATTATTACGAATGTGACAGCCAATTTTTACCCAAGCTAAAGCATAATTTAATAGATAAACTACGAGAGAGACAATGAAAATCTAAAAAAAAAAGTTTCTATTTTCTCCAAAACTGCAGAACTTATAAAGCATTCATATGAAAATGAATCACATTATACTTCTTTGTTAAAGAAAATCTCGATACTGGGGCAAATGGAAGGTCTCGATTTAAATTCTCGGCCAGGATACAGAATTCTATGATAGATTTATCTCAGCCCATTCAGAAAAATACTAAATAATTCCACATCCTTACGAAATCACGAGTCACGTTTCCATTTGATACATAACCTATACAGTTGAGAAAATGTCGTTAAATAAACTAGAAAACAAACATACATGGCCTACTCCAATTTTTTCGTCGAATTTCAGTGTTATAAATATGGTACACAATCGTCAGCCTATAAAGATAACATCGATCAATACTTATATAATTTTCGAATTTCTAGAGTAAAAAAACTCATACTATTATATCTGTATAAATGCTTCAAAATATCAAATATTTGTCTCTTATGTCAACCAAGCACAAGCCTATTTATACTGACAGATTAATGATTTTTTTTATATAAAATGTACGTATTCCTCCTAAAATGGCTTCTCTCTTTTTCTGTCCAGATATTTCTGTACAGCCCTGAAGGACTCAGTCAACTGCTACACCTTGGAAGTATCTTTTTTCGGATACCAACGTCCAAATTCTCAAGGAATATTCCAGTACACAGAAGATGCATGTATCCTTGTAACTAACAGCATTAATGGCTAAAGAATATAACCTCACAAAATTAATTTGTAACTAACATTTTAAAAGATCTTCAATATCCTATGCAACGCGAGACGTTACAAAAAAGAAGACAGTAGCTGAGCGCGATAGTGAAAGACAAGTGAAGGCCAAACATGCGTGAGGCGTATATGGAGACAAAATGTAATTTAAGACAAGCAAATGCAAGCGGGGACAGACAACGAATTACAAGTGGTAGCAAGACAGATAAAGCCGATTAGAGAAGAAACAGGTGAAGGACAGGAATATAGAGGAAGTTAGAAACCGCAGGGAATACAAGAAAGGCAGATCAATGACGTCACGGATTAGACCACTTAAATCTACTACAGGCATTATTATACTGAATTTTTTTGACGTAAATACGTCTATAAGGAAGGGTCATTCGGCAAAAAGGGAAACGAAAAAGGGAAACTAAAAATGGAAACGAAAAAGTGTAACAAGTGTACCTAGGGAACGTCGTGTTTACTCGGCATTGTTGTTACCTATAAAACATTTCATTACATTACATTACTTTCATTACATTCATCTACCACAGACCCATCTTAAGCGTAACCAATTCAAGTTAAATAAGCAAAGTCTTAATCAAACTTATCTCAATTGTAAAGCATGTATAAAGGAAATATTTAGAATAAAGCCAATATATAAACTTCCTTTCCGTATAGAATTAGTTACGTCAAATTCTCCGGAACCATGGTTCCACTGTAACTTTTTATTTATTTCTCAATTTCCACTGCCAGCGTCAATTTTGTTTCACTTTGCTTTATCCTCCACATGTCTAACCTATGTTCGCTCGTCTTAACTCGCTTTGTCTTGTCCATTATACGGTAGCTCCGTCCCGGACATTACAAAATGCTACGAAATTCCATTAAGACAATGAATTATCAGGAATTATGTCCGTTGTAATTAATAATTTCCTTGACCTGGTCATCAGACTGTAGGCTCGGTCGTAACATTGCCCGCACCTACCTGGACTACTACAGAGCCATTGGAGTGATACCGGCAAATCTACCAATTACAATATCCACGTCTCCTGACCCCAGGATGCGAGCTAGATCAAGCCGGAGTCCTTGTACCCGTCCACGGACAACGCGCGGGAAGGCAGTACTTCGTCTACACGAACTCACGTCTGTCCGCGACCGGGGTAGTTCGTCCAGTGACGGGGGAGGCGATTCGCCAGTGAATCTCGAACCCAGGTCATTTCAACACGACAGACGCCGTTCAACTCTTCTGATGAACTACAGAGAAATTCCAACTTCTCTTCCGGAACCGAATGTGACCCCAGGCTTAAGAGGTCTGGCAGGAAGGAAGATGAGGGGTGGAGGAATTTGCCATTCGGTAGTGACAACCGCCTCAAGGCCACCGCCAGCTCCGCCGAGACTCGCGATCATCGACTTCAACAAATTGACTCGAGGTGGCTTGGACCAGGCCACAGGACGAGGCAGAGGGAAGTCAAAGAGACGGGACACAAGGCAAAACAGAAATTCTCCTACAGCAAACCGATTCTAGATCTTAACGCGTAAAATTCCGGCAATACAGCACGCCTCGTGGCCAAATGTTTAACTAAACTTCTCTAAAAAAATGTTTTTCTGTCCATTACTCGCCTTTCTTAATAGGTATCAATGCCTAACTGACACAGACTGATAGTCTAGTCAATTAGCTAAAAATAAAAATTGAATCACACAGAATATTATTAAAAACTGTTTTAATATATAAACTTCTAACACATATTAACCTGAACCTCGTCATATATTAATTATCTACAAGAATTTAGAGAAATGTTATGGTCTTCAGAACGTTTATTTTTAATTGTGAATAGAAATACGTAATATTTATTATTGATAACAAATATCTATATATTAATTACACTGAAAAAAGGGTATTTTCTGGGGTATAAGTACCAGGTACATGTTCAGATATTTCTGCACAGTCAAGAACTTTAATATCTAACATTAAAATATATAATTAATTTGTTGTTCTTTCAAGGAAAATTTTCGATATCACTATTCAACAAACAAAACAATATAGAATCCAGGTACATGGAAATAAGATATTTCTGTCTCACGACAAATTTCCTTGTACTAAAATAGATTTTCTGTTTGAAATTTATACTGTTTCGTTATAAAACAGAACCTACTGTTAGATGTCCTTGCAAATATATAACCCTATACGAATTCGAAGGGGTTTTCTATCTGTGTTACATTTAGTAACAAAAAGATTTAAAACTTGTTACACGATGGAAATAAAATAAAAACAACAGAAAAACTTAAAATGTACAACACAGAAAAAATCAATTCCCACATAAATCATCCTTCGATATAATAAGCAATTGTGTGGTTATCATTTATTGTTGTTAATGGATTTTGTTCCTTATTGCGATAATATTTATAAATAGTTTGTTACTATTAGAGGGCTGTGGACTTGATGGCATAACAATATAACCGTTGCCATGGTAATACTTCTATTTACATGTACACAACAAAGTTATTATATTATATAATCGATATAAGATTGGATATTTGAGAACATATAAAATGAAATCGTATTACATTTTTTAATTAATTTCAATTTTTATGTTCTTCTTGGTATAAACAGTGCACAAAATACTTTTCGTTCATCCACAGCCTTCTATACGCGTCTAAACAATTGTACGCAAAGAATCAAAACAGATGTTTACGTTTTAACGCCGTAACAGCTTTGTTACACATTTATATAAAAGTGTTATTATAAGTAATCTACTATATTTTCTAGTCATAAAAGATTTTCCATCTTTTTAATACGACTAACGCACATGTAATATTTAAGATGTTTCTAATTGTAAAATATTCTTTGCCTAAAGAGTAAATTCTTGAATTCTGATCAAATAATTTTTAACGCACGTTTTATATTAAATGTTTTCTTAAGGGAATCCAAGTTAAATAAAGACAATATGACGATTAAGACCTTATATGTTATTTATTTATAATTTATTTCAAAATACTGCCAGTTACCTAATTTAAGGTACAATGTCGAAATATGCTTAAAGAGGGCGACGTAAACTCCCAGATCTCCCCGAATACGACGCAGATGGGTTAACCACTCCTCGAGCTACGTTTACAAGATAAACAACTTAACATTCTGCAACTGACAAAGTACGCTTTTATCATTTAGTTAAGAAACTTTTATCTTCCTTCTACCCTCCAAAAACGTCAAGATTAAAATATACGAAGATAAAATCTTACCTGTTATTCTGCAGGTAAGTTTCAAACTTCGTCTCTCGCCCCAAAGGAGGAACACAGATTGGGAGCCATGTTTTTCTTCTGGGGTTTTGAGAGGTGTAAACGCCCAAAGGAGGAACACAGATTGGGAGCCGTGTTTTCTTCTGGGGTTTTGAGAGGTATAAACTTGTCGGCAGATGGCATAGTCTCGGAGAAACATAATATCTCCACGTTCAGGGCTACACGACCCCAAAGCCCAGAGCATCATCGAACTCGCCTACGTAAACCTCAAATCTATTTGAGAAAAGGTCACTGACGAGACAATTTTGACCTAAGATAAAAAAAAACTAGCAGCATAACCAAGTAAATTACGTAATAGAAAGATTTATTATACATATTTTTGGCCTATTTATCTGTGGTCCATTTAACGATGTCGACTCGTCATAAAGTATCATTAAGGTATTTATAATGTAATAAAATCTTAATACCAGTAACACGTCATTAGCAAATAAAACTTTTTAATGACTAGTGCAACAGATGCATGAATGTATGTATTCGAGCGTTGTGGACCACAATTTTTTATAAGCTTCTCAGATTCTCACATCAGATCATAAACGAACAGCCACGAATTCAATCAAAATGCAGTTTCAGGTATATTACAAAAACAAATTTAATGACGAACATGGTACTTACATTAATGAAATAACAGATTAATACCAAAAAAAACCCTGTAACGTTATGTTTAGTCTAATCTAATTATATTTGATCAAAACAAAAGTTATTCGTATGAGCAAAACAACGAATTCTTTAGACGTAATCATGAATAAAGTAATGCAAACGTTGTTAACTGTATAGCTCAAGGAATCGAAAGTTTGTGCAGGAGAGAGAACGAACCAGTTCCCCCAATAAAAGGCTGGCCAACCATCAGGCGACTAGATGGCGACACTAGTTCATCTCGCTTCCCTGAAACAGAATAAAACAGTTGATATTTCAGGTTATAACAGCGGTGAGGACACAGATGGCCGTCGTCCGGTAGCCCCGATGACAGAGGCAGCAAGTACCTCTGAAACGTTGGTAAACTTCAGACTACATAACGCTACAACCCAGAAGACAGCCATCTTTATAATCACCACCGTGGTTTATACCATGTCGTATTACGTTACTATAACCACATATCTATATATACACACAAATACAAAGCCAAAAGTTCCTTTCAAAAACCCAAGGACAGAGTTTATTTATACCAATAAAGGCAGGGCATTTACATTAAGATTGCCTATCGCTGTAATATAAACGAATCAAATAAGAAATAATATTAATTAAATATAAACTGAAGTACACTATCAAATACAACTTACTCTCGTCATATTTCAGGCTTAAAAATGTGATTATCAATGTTAAAATCCACTCGCAGACATTATTAACATAAAATATGCTACATTTTACTGATGAGTTATAAAATTATAATAATATTATTTATTATAATAAACAATTTTCCATGCTCAATGTCCCTTACGAACTAATTCACTACTTAAGATAGTGTAGTTGCGTCATATTGTGACTTATTAAATTAAAATTAATTATATGGTTTTCGGTCAAATCACAATGTATTTAAAATAAGATAATTAAAATAATTAAAATATCATTTCGTGTTCCATATCGAATAATCGATTTACAATTGGAACATTTACAACATGTTTCGGTTTTATTAAACCATCATCAGGTGTAAAATTATATTAATAAATTTAAAATTCAATTACAATTTTTACAATTTTTTCGTAGTGTAGTTTTTTGGAGGTGTTCGTGTCCAGATATTTTCATATAATGGATCAACTTTATTGTTTGAAGTGATGCATCTGATGTTTACATAGGTCTGTGAATTATTATTAATTATTATTAATTATCTTATTTTAAATACATTGTGATTTGACGGGAAACCAAATAATTAATTTTAATTCACTGCTTCTCGGTTTAATTAACTACGCGTTCCAAATTCCCAAATACCCATAAATTCTGAATTTGAAGGTAGAGGTCCTGCCTGGAGGCATTGAATAAAATAAAAAATATCTGGTATTAAAGTCAGGAATCGAACCCGAAATCCCCCGGGTACCACTGAGAGCCAAGCATGCTAACGCAACGTGCCATGTTATGATTTCGTAAGTAGTCTAGGAAAAAATATGTTGGTGGGGTTCCACAGACGATAGGACAAATACAATTATAGCTCATCTGCCCCACAGACAATTTCTAGTCTGCATTTAATATTATGGCTGATTTTTTAAGAATTCAAAATACATTTTACATAACTGGAAGCATTGTAATTGTGAAATAAATATTAATTCGCATACAGTATCGATTTAATTACATATGCAAGACCACATTTGGTTTTGATTAATTAACCGGTGGACACCTCCAAAATTTATGGCACTGATAATCACTCTATCCCTCGATAACAAATTACATTTTAAAAAAAAACTAGTTAAAGCGAATACACAAATCCCAATTATCAAAACCCCATTAAAATAAAGAATACAGTCGTTACTGTGTCGCTTGCACTCAAAATTAAATCGCGTAAATTACAAATATTCTCGTAATTTCTGTCTCTGAAGCCAAAATATAAATCAAAGTCGCAACCATTTCGGAATTTCACTTTCCACACAAAAATTACCTCAACAAAATGTGCACGCATTTATAACCTCGTATTAATTACTGGACTCCTGGGGTCTCGGGTTCGACTCCCGGCGGTGCCCGAATTTATAACTTGTGTTGGGCAAGGCCGTGGTCTAGGCAACACGGAGTTTTCCTCCGTGGCATCCCAACAATTACTCCATTCACACACAGAAGAAGGCAATGGCAAACCACTTCTGGATCATCTGCCAAGAACGTATATGAACAGGTCCCAGTCCGAGAAAAGGATGGAAGGATCCTGGTCATATGGACCTGTCGTCAGACAGAACAAACAAAACTTCCGGTTTCTCCCTGGCATCCCAACAATTACTCCATTTACACACAGAAGAAGGCAATGGCAAATCACTTCTGGATCATCTGCCAAGAACGTATATGAACAGGTCCCAGTCCGAGAAAAGGATGGAAGGATCCTGTTCATATGGACCTGTCGTCAGACAGAACACTAATAATAATAATAAAAACATTACACGACGATAGAATCTTTCGTGGTGTTTCTCAGTCCCTTTAGACGGATGTTCAAATAGGCCGTCTCCGTACAAGACCATATTAATCGCCGATTGTGATCAAACTCCTACTGAATTAGCCATTTTGACACTGAAATTAAAAATGTCGAGAAACTAAGAAACTGATTTACAAATCACTATAGATACAAGAGATAAATCACTTCTTCCATAACCCAAAAATGTCTTCAGATTTTCCACGATTAATAAATCAAATCTATATTTTTTTACTACAAATTCTTTATAACAAAAAAGTACGCTCAAATAACTGTTGTAATGTATGTTAATGAATGCAGTTGGAATGGTTCTGGAGCTAACAAACTGTAGTATATGAATTAACATCGTTAAAGAGAACTCGACAGACAGTGGATCCTTGTGTAAAGTCCTGTACCGACCACAAGTTAATTTTAAATCCACCATGGATTTCACTACATAATAGAACTCTCGTGGATATGCCAGTTAATTTAATCCTAAACTCTATTCTCTGCACTGTCGACTTTCGCCAATGTTACATTGGGGGTGGCAGACGTAGCTTTACGGTTCCTATAATTTTGGTCAATAATGTACCTGAAACAAAGAGTGGGTATAATACTAGAAATAACATATGTCTACGTGAGTCTCCAAAGAAAACTAAAATGTAAACATAAATTAATCTGAGATTTATTATAGAGACGTATTCCAACAGAACTTTATCCCAAATTATCTTCTTTATATAAAATAATGTTCATAATTTGTATCCTTCACCAGATATTATTTTGGTTTGACTAATAAAGCAGAATGCGTAAGATGAGAAATTAATATATAATTTTAGCCTAAAAGTCCTATGGGAACATAATCACTAAAATGTATCTCAAAGAAACAATATCAAAGTATGGACTGCTACGAACACGGTAATGAAAATTCGGTTTACATGAAAACCGGGTAGCTGAGCGATTAGTTTCTCATGAAAGACTCTCCTCCATATATCTTACCTCTGTCTACGAGTACAGACCTCATCATCATCATCATTTATAGATGTGGTTGTGTGACCTCCACTTCCGAAATGGTTAGTCACTTCAGACATTTTGCAGGTTTCCCTAGACAGGTGATCAGCCCTTATCAAAAACCTTTATCCACACAGGACACCACAACACACAAACACGCAGAAAAACATCCATGGTTTCAGCAGAATTCGAACCCGTTACCCCAGCAAAAAAAAGGTCAATTCAGTATTTTAAATAAAATTATCACGCGTGCTAAGCGGTTGAGCGCCAGCTTTGTCCAACTGAATGGCAAAGATTTCTCAGTCCGAAACATTTATCGTCCTCCGTCTCTGTATGTTATTCTTATTCAAAGCCTTACCAACATGCATAACCGTTCAAATAATTCACAAAATAAAACGACTTCGAATGTAAAGTTCTATGATATTACATAAATCATGTCTGCAGAAAACAAACTACAAGAATACCCCAGAATCAATACATTACTGTTACAGAACTGTAAGATACATCGAACTGAAAATCGCTACTCTGAACCAAGACTCGAACGTAAATCTCGGTTTTATTTCTGTACATATAACGAATTTTTAAAACTAAGATTCACATTCAGATTTAAGGTTTTCATTTTGATTCTGAAACACCCCCCCCCCCAGACACTTTTACAGGCTTCATTCTTCTCTCAATATTTATAGTACAGTTCTAGGATAATAACTCAAGGTTAAAATAGGCCACGGTAACTTTTTTTACATGTAATTCACAGGCTACCTTTCAAAACTACCCCTTCGTTTGAAGCTGTGTAAACGGGACAAAAAAAAAACGTAACTTTCGTCAAGATTTTTACGTTTTATATTTACTAGACGATGGATAATATCCAAGAAAATTTTTATTCGATCCTGGGGGTCTCGGGTTCGATTCCCGGCGGTGCCCGAATTTATAACTTGTGTTGGGCAAGGCCGTGGTCTAGGCAACACGGAGTTTTCCTCCGTGGCATCCCAACAATTACTCCATTCACACACAGAAGAAGGCAATGGCAAACCACTTCTGGATCATCTGCCAAGAAAGTATATGAACAGGTCCCAGTCCGAGAAAAAGATGGAAGGATCCTGTTCATATGGACATGTCGTCAGACA